TTCCAAACCCTTTACCTACACTTTCTTCTCCTTATAAAAAGGGTCGATTTAAAAATGGAATTGAAGATGGTCTGTTAGCGTACAAACCTGCTGTCTTCTCAGGTCGCCAGGCATCAGACTGAAGGGCCCATAAAGCCCCAATCCCTGCCTCTGCTTATTGGGCCTGGCAGGCGACAGGCAGCACAAACGCTGGCTTGTCCAGCTTCAGTAGCAATATTTGTTCTTGAATTGGAACAAACGAAGCAAACGTAATCGGAGAATCTGTGATGGGGGAAGAGAATTATGGGAACTCTGTACTATCGGCTCGATTTCCTGTGAACCTTAAACTCCCCTGTAAAAATAAAGGCTATTTTAAAATAAGGAATTATTTCCTTTCTCATGCTGGAATCACTCCTGAACGTTTCAGTCCAGCTGCTCTGAAATCCTAAGGTCTCAGATATAAGAGGTTCTTAAGTTTTATCTTATCCAAGCCCTTTGCTGCAGAGATAAGGGCGCTGGAGCCGAGGGTGGGGAACGACGTGCTGTGGAAACTCACACGCCTTCACCCTCGCAGCGGGGACAGGGCTTATTCCAGTCACAGCTTTCCTTCCCAGGAGAGGGCTCTTGGCACCAGCCCACGCTGCACTGAGGATTGGTTTTCTACCTTTGATTTTTTTTTTTATTTTTTTTTTACTTTCTCAATTTTTTTTCAAATTTCTTATTTTTTTCTTAAGATGGAACAGACTAGCTCTGTTTCAGAAGCGGCATGTTTCTCCTAAAAAGAACTCCCTAACTGGTTCTTTCTCTTTTCCTGAGGCCAACACTCCTTTTAAAAGTCAGAGCTGAGCCCTAGCATTGAGCCCTAGCTGGTGCGGCTCAGTGGATTGAGCACCAGCCTGCAAACCAAAGGATTGAGGGTTCAATTCCTAGTCAGGACACAGGCCTGGGTTGCAGCCCGGGTCCCCAGTAGGGGGCGTGAGATGCAACCACACATGGATGTTTCTCTCTTCCTCTCTCTAAAGTCAGAGCTGATCCTGAGCATCTTCTTCACATCTTCTCCAAAACGAAGGGTTGCAGGTTCGGTTCCCAGGGACTGGATTGCAGGCTAGCTCCCCAGCTTGAGCTGTGCAAGAGGCAATCGCTTGATGTTTCTCTCCCTCTCTTTCTCCCTTCCTTCCCCCTCTCTAAGAGTAAGTAAATTAAATCTTTAAAAAATAAATAAAAACAAAAGTCAGAGCTGCCATCTGCCCTTTGCAGATTCGGCCGGGTTGTCTAGATGACCTGCGGTGACATCCGTGGATGATGAAAGGTCTGCCGCTGCAGCCCACCTGGCCCGGATGCAGGAGGGCCGCGTGGGTAGGGCCCCGGTGCCCTCACTTTAAGAGGCTGACACACAGACCAGTGGGAGCGTGTGGAACGTGTCACGCCTGTTTCCTTCGTCCAAAACTAGGGTCCCATTAGACAAATACAAAGGTCAAAACACCGATGCCTGAACATGAGATTTCACGGTCCCCACACTGACCCACGCATTTATTCAAAACAGCTTTGTTGATTTGAGTAGAAATGGCCCCGTCCTTACGGAGATTACAACTTAAAATCAGGCTCCTGCCTGGGACGTCTCCCTCGCCAGACCTCAGCTCTCCCGGCGCTGTACCCGGAGGGCCTCCCAGGCGCGGCCAGTTCTGACGCACAGGATTCCACCTCCCTTAAGCAAGAGCCGCTCCGCCGGCGCGGGGCAGTCCTCGCGCGTCGCTCCGCCCTCACCACCCACCTCCCAGGACTCTGGAACCCCGACCTCCACACACGCCCTGCGCGTGGGTCCCCGGGTCTCAGCACACGACCCCGCGTTCCCACTTGTCTCACTTCATTCCAAACAACGTGCGAGGGGGAGCGCGCGCTCCCAGGACGGTGCCCGCAGAAAATGCTCCCTCACTCAGACGCCAGGTGAGAGTGGCGTCCTGGCCCCGGCTGCGCAGGTGGGACACGGAGCCCCGCCCGGTGCAGCGGGGTCGCCGTGTTCCTGACCTCGCAGGGACCATTTGCTGAACCGCCATGTGGCCGTCACCGTTCTTGCAAGGGCTTCGCGTGGACCCATTCCTTTGCCCCTCACGACAATCCTCCTGGGCAGGTGACAATTGTGTTTCCCTTTGCGGGGCATGGAGGCACAGGGACGCCAAGCAACGTGCACACCTCACACAGCCGACAGGCCGAGGAGCGAGTGCCAGGCAGTCGGTCTAACTAGGCCGGGGCGACGCCATAGGTAAATCATCCTGTCTTTCATTCCTTCTGCTCTGGTGGAATGTCGTTTTCTTTAACCTTCATTTCAGTGCTCTGGGTTAGGGGTTATCGGTGTGCTGGTAAACATTTAACAAACTGGCTCTCTGGGGAAGAGGGAGCTGATGGGTAGTGTTTGCCAATTTCCCTGGTGTTCATGTTCCCACGATGGTCGATTTCAAGCTACCAACCCACATTGACAAACAGGGAGTTGGGACGGGATGGTCCGCAGTCCTCTGCCCTAGGGGGTTTCTATCAAAAAGGTACAATATGCATAAATGGCTTCATACATAATAATGAAAATAATTAGAAAGTTAGTAGTAAAATAATTAGAAGATGGGATTTGAGTATTTCTTGACTTTACTTTTTAATAAAATATTAAAAACCGTAAGTGGAAAAGCGAACTGTAGAATAATTCCTACAACAGCTTATTTTTGTACATCTGTGAAGACTCCCACCTCATATATGAATATGTGTATATTTGATCAAAGAAGAGTCAACTATCAAATTGGGTCACTTCAGAGACGGGGACGGCGAGTGGCGAGAGACAGGTGGCTTTTTCCTTCTCCCACCTCTGTATTGTTCAAATTTTTACAAATGTTTACAATAAAAAATAATTTATAAAGTGTTTTAAATGGGAATCTAGAATCTGGAGGTGAGACGTGACTGTTCCAGTAAGGAATGACATCAGAGGTGGAAGGAATCACCGCCATTGTGAAGGCTGAGGAATCGTCACCTTCTCATTTTGTAATTAGCTAATTGTTTACTTTTTCTTTGTTTGCTGGTTGCCGGTCTTTCCCTGGAAGCTCTGCTGACCCCCAAGTGCCTGCAAGGTCACAGTCCCAGCCTCTGCAAGCATCACCCCCTTAAACTAACACAAGAGCCCCGTACCCTTCACCACTTTGTGTTTTTTTGGAGGGGAGAGAGAGGGAGGGAGGGAGAAAGGGAGAGAAACATTAAAGCGTCGTTGCCTCTTGCATGTCCTGCACTGAGCGCCTGGCCCGTAACCCAGGCATGTGCCCTGGCTGGGAATCGAACCGGCGACCCCTTGCTTTGCAGTCCAGCACTCAATCCACTGAACCACACCAGCCAGGGGCCTTTCAGTGCTTCTGCTCCATCCCTCTGTATTCATTTGCTAGGGCTGCTGTAACCGAGGACCACCAACTGGGTGGCTTAAAACCGTACACATTTATTGTCTCAGAGTCCTGGAGGCTAGACAGCCGGGGTCAAGGTGTTGGCGAGGTCGGTTCCTCTTGAGGCTGTGAGTCTATTCTACGGCTGTCCCCCAGCTCCACGTGGTTTGCTGGGAATCCTTGGAGCCGCAGCTGCAACACTCACCCTTTCCCATCCCGGGTCTGTGCCTCGTCTCCTCTTCTTGTGAGGACACCAGCCATTTTGGGATGGAGGCCCACCCTATTGCACTATGACCGCCCTAACTGGTTACATCTACGATGGCCCTATTTCCAAACAAGGTCACATTCCGAGGTACTGGGGTGAGGACTGCAACATCCCTTTTAACAGGGACACAATCTGACCTATAAAGGCTTCCTACAGCCAGTTCTCCATGAAGCTGCCAGAATAAACTTTAAAAAATGTAAATTGGTCCGCTCTTCTGGCTTCCCATTACAGCAAGCATAACACCAAAGGAAGGCCGCGGGGCTTCCTTCCCTTGGTGCCTCCCTCTTTCTCTATCCACGCCCCTTCCCTCCCCCTGCCTTATTTATCCGGGAAGCCCCACTATTTCTTTTCCAAGAGCATTCCAGCCTTCTCTCCCCGGGGGTCTTTGCTGTTCCTTCTGTCTGGACCGGACTCCCTCTAGATGTGCACCTGGCTCTCCTCACTTCTTCCCAAACCAGGGCCACCCCAGGGAGAGGTGCAGCCTGACCCTCACTAGAGCAGCGGATGCTTGGTCTCCTGTGGCTCAGCTTTCTCTGTAAAGCCAGTGCTACATGGCAGTATATCTGCTATCTCTTCATTATGTCACGTATCTCCTCATTAGAACGTAAGCTCCATGAGGGCAGGGATTTTTGTTTTTATTTGAAAGCCTTGAAGATATTTTTATCAATTTTCTAATTAAGTTAAGCTTTGAAAAAGCAATCATTGGCATGGTTGGAAGTCAAAGTGGTATAAAAAGGTGTCTAGAGAGGTGTCATTCCCATTCCTGCAGCCCCACGAGTGTCAGCTCCATCCCCTCCTTCCAGAAGAAGAAAAGTTACCCTGTTTTTCCATAAGAATATATGTGCACATATATTCTTATTTTCCCACTTATACCAAAAATATCATTATATACATAGGCTGCACCTTGCATTTCTCCCTTGAAAATATTTCCTGGACATTATCCCGTGTCCGTTTATAGAGAACTTCCTCGTCTTTTTTATAGCTGTATAGTATTCCCTTTCAGAGACACACTATAGTTGATTTCATCAGTTCCCTACTTCTGGCTTCCAGCTTTCGCTATTGCCACAAATGTAGGACAGGGATTTTTATGCTGAACCCTCGAGTCCTGAAGTCTTTCTGCACGAAGTAGACCGTCCATCAACAATCGTGGAAAGAGGAACTAACCAACGCTAATGAGCGAAGAAGGGTGCGAGTAGCAGAAGGGAACCCAGGGCAGGCCGGGCCCGCGGTGCGGCGCGGAGGCCCCAGCAGGTGGCGCTGCGGGCGGCGGCCGTGCCTGGTCGCCGCGCCTCGCCGCTCTTTCCGCGGCGCAGACGTCGGCGCGGGAGCAGCGTGGGGGGGAGGGAAAGTCATATGACCCGCTCGGCTTCCTGGCCCGGCTGCTGCCGCCGCCCGCGTTCGCCGTCGCGCCGGGGCCCGAGGAGCCGTTGGGGGGTCCGGGCCGAGGCCCGCTCGCGTGGAAGTCGCCGCCGTCGCCCGCCTGCCCGCGCGTCCGCCCCGCGTCCCGGCCGCCATCATGCTGGCGCTCATCTCCCGCCTGCTGGACTGGTTCCGCTCGCTCTTCTGGAAGGAGGAGATGGAGCTGACGCTCGTGGGGCTGCAGTATTCGGGCAAGACCACCTTCGTCAATGTCATCGCGGTGAGCGGCCGCCCGCCGGCTCGCCGCTCCAGGCCGGGTCGGGCCCAGTCGGGGCCCCTCCGCGGGGCGGGGGGGCGGCGGGGGCGGGGCGAGTGCGCTGGCCCCCTTCCCCGGCCCAGGGCCGGACTAGCTGCGTCCCGCGTACCGGCAGCTGCGGTTGTCCTGGACGCGGCAGGGACTCGGGGAGGGTGAACTTGGCTTGTCACGCATTTAAAGCGCCTGTGGGGTTGGGGCTTCCCTGCCACTTGCTCTGTCGGTGCCGCCAAAGGGTTAACTCCAGCCTGTCACTTTTGCGAAGGGTGGGACTTGGCGAGCCCGTCCGTCCTGGGAGAAAGGAGACTTGAGAGGCTCCGTTCAGTCGCCGCTCCGGGCCTGGAGCCCCAGCGCGGGCTCCTTCCTGAATGGCATGCGCAGCATGCCCTCTGTCATACGGGTGCGGGTTCCACGCGTTCCCCCAGAGAGCGAGATGAGTTGGTGGCTGCTGCGCTGACCCGTGGAAGCTGAGGACAGTTCCCGCGTATCCGCAGCCGTGCCTCGCGGGTATTGAGCCGGCAGAGAGGGGCTCAAGTGGGAAGCAAGACGGATCTGTAAGAAAGTTAACCACCTTGACAGACCGGGTGTGGGGCGTTCCTTACCAGAGGAGGGAAGGGACAGGGCTTATTCGAGGCCCAGGGCGTGGGTGTCTCAGGGGTGGGGAGGGAATGGTCCCAGGAACCCATATGCAACATGCTGTTTTGTTAAGCAGTGACTGAGTGCAAGGATGATTATTAAATTACGGTTGTCTAGTTGGTTGCGGGAAGAAATGAGTGGAAGGTTCTCCTCGTCAGTCTATTTGGAGCCCAGGGGTTGCCGTGAGTCAGTCTCAGCTGGTAGGGCTTTGTCCCGAGTTTGGGACTGTTGTCAGGAGAGGTGGCCGCGCCTCTTCCACCTTTGGGACGGCGGCTGGGATCCTTCTGTACCAGCAGGCCAGCCGTCGGACGGGTTCGGCTGCAGGGATGATTCAAACACAGCTCCCGTGTGGGAGAAGATGCCGGCCGCGTGACTCTGCGTCCCCGCGCGCATGGAGAAACAGGAACAGGGAAGGCTGGGAGGGGGCGAGATGAGCAGAGACCCAAAGTTCCGTTGAAGAATGTTGCCTGTAAGTTCATTTTCCCCTTTGGCTCTTTTCTTAATACGACCTCCCCTCCCCCGCCCTTTTTTTTTTTTTTTTTTTTTTGGCCTGAAATGGCTGTGTGTCAATAGGTATGTAGGGTGGAATGTGCATCTGACACCGCCAAGAACAATAAGCAAAAACTTTCGGCTCAGGGCCCATGTTAGGACTTGTGAGTTATGTGGAAAAGGTCCGCGTCAGTGCCCGGGAGCTCGGTAACTGCATTTTCTGGTATTTCCTTGATAGAAGACTTGGAGTCTCCCTGTAAGTGCATCCGCTTGAGAAGATAAACCTAATTTGTCGTGTGGATAGGCATGTCATACAGTCGGTTGTATTTGTTGCAGAGGAGTAGTTGCGCTTGGGAGGCCTCAGCAAAACTCTAGTGAGTCTTTGAGGAACTCAGAACAGTGTAGCCGAACGTGAAGAGCGTGACCTCTGAGGCCGAGCAGCCCTGGGTTTGCCATCTGGCCCTGCCACTTTGCAGCCTTGTATCCCCTTTCGGTCTTTGCTTTCTCATCTGGTAAGTGGAGATAATAATAGGTTTCTCAGAGGCGCTCAGAGGAGTAAATGAAGTGGCCTGTGCAGTGACTGGCGTCCTGCCCGCCCAGCGAAGGGCCGGGCAAGGGAGTTCCCTGGGGTCCCTTCCTCTGCTGCGTCTCTGTGTGATGCAGCCTGGGCCGTCCCGGTGCGTTTGCGGGTTTAGGAGAGGAATCGCGTTTTATCACCGCTCCCCCCCTATCATTTTTAAAAATTAGATTATTTTTTAACAACAAAAAAGCTGGGAAGCTGTTGAACTCAAAGTGTACCAGTGGCTCCGCTGTTACTTTAGCAGCCTGTTCTTGAACCATGACGGCGTGCATAGGTGTCGTTAGGGAGAAAACCGGGGCTGCGACTGGCTGTGTGTTGACTAAGATGCTGGGGAAAAAAGACCTCAGTAAATGTCTTTTTAAAACTCAGACTACAAACTAATCTGTGATCCTCGTAGATGACATCCGAGGAAGAAGTTTGTAATTAAAAGTGGTTTTACAGACTTTCAGATAGAAACTGTCCAGCAAAGTGAAGTTAGCATTATCTTTTTAAAAAGTCCGTTGTACTGTTTTTTTGTATTTTGTATTAAATATGTGTTTTTTAGACTCAAATAAAATGTGTTGAGCACTACATACCCCTTTTATTTAGATTGAATAAGTAAGTTCCCAGGTACCAAAAGCTTCAGACGAAGGCAGTTTTCTTTGAGTAAAAATCAGTTCCTTTGTAAACATCAAATTAAAGTGTGTCTATACCTTCTGCCTTAAAAGTTTAAAAAAATATAATAGATTTGTTTAACTTACTCAGATGGTTTGTGAAGCTCAAATACTTGTATGTAAAGTTTGGTTTATTCTGAAATTAGGCAGTTTATTTACAGAGTGTTTCACTCCTAAAATTTATGTTCTCGTGGTTTTAAAACTGAAATGCTACTTCACTTTACCTGACGTTTTACGTGGAGGCACTTGACGTACGTAGTGTTTGCGTTGCTCTGGATGTTCAGAAAGAAGCTCCTCCAGCCTTCAGTGTTGGGAGCGGCGTCGGGTCGAGACAATGCCTGTCGCTTAGTGTCCTGGCAGTTATTGTGCAATAAACCGTGGGCCGTGTGTGTGGCATATGTTGAGCAATCTTTAGCTTTAACGAGGCTTTAAATGGGCTCTAGGGTAATTACTAAGAAATGTTTAACAGGATCTACCAAAATGCCACAAGTTTTATAGATAGACATTGTGTATTTTTGAAATGAGTAGTTTTGTAAAAATTTGTTTACAGGTTTATGAAGGGTTGATGCCACAAAGGTTAATCCAAGGAAACTTTCTTACTGCTGAAAATTAAGGAAAGGTAATTTGGGAAGATTGTAGAAATCTGAACCTAGATGATTTTTTTTTTTAAAGATTTTATTTATTTATTTTTAGAGAAAGAGGAAGGGGGGGAGAGAGGGGAAACATCCTTGTGTGGTTGCCTCTCATACACCCCCTACTGGGGACCTGGCGCGCAACCCAGGCATGTGCCCTGACTGGGAATTGAACCGGTGACTCTCTGGTTCACAGGCCGGCACTCAATCCACTGAGCCACACCAACCAGGGCAGTATTTTTTATTTTATTTTTTTAAAAATTTGTAGAAACCTCAATGAAGTGGTGAGGCCAGGAGACCCAGAAAGGTAAAGTGAAAGTCTTCGTACCACAGCGCTGATGAGTCGTAGAGACGATGTTAGAGCCCAGGGCTGGAGCACTTTCTCCTTTTCCTGTCAGCCTCTGCAGAGCCACTTGAGGTTAGAACCACAGAGCAAGTCTTTTTTTCATAGATAAGTATGCTCCTTGTACAAGTCTGGAGAGCAGTATTTCATTATTTGGGGGTAAGAATGGCAAAAACCATTTTTAAACAAAATTTGCCATGGCTCATGCCTGAAGTTGAGCAGGCCTGAAGCTTGACTGCAGCCGCTAGGCTCCCAGCGAGGAGGGTGTCCGATGGAGCCGCTGCGGGGGCTGTGCGCGGCGTCCTGCCCAGGAGCGTCTCTCCTGGGGCCCTCGCTGCTGCCGCCCCCCAAGTCCCATCCTGCCATTTTTCCTGTGCAGGCCTGAGACCACCGACGCCCAGCGTGCCCGTCCATGGGCGGTGGGGGCGCAGCGCTGCGTGCTGCCGAGTGGACCCAGATGTGCCGCAGCTGAGCACGCGCACCTGTTAAGCCTCTCAGAGAGAGTGGGGGGTTAACCACTGTCAGCATTTCAAAAATGGTTCCTTTTGTCTTTTTTAAATGTATGTATCCAAACACCTTTCTTAAAAGTTTTGAAATAGTATTTATTATGTGTGTATCCTGATTTGTTTTCTTTTAGTTCTGATGCATGCCTTTTTCTTCATCTAAAACCACTTTTTTATCCATTTTTTAAGGCACAGTTTCTTTTTTCCAGTCTTATTGAGAAACAATTGGCATGCATCACTGTACAAGTGGAGGGCATCCAGCATGATGCTGTGAGGTGGTGACCATGTTGGTAATCATCTAACTCCCAGGTTCTCATATAGATACAATAAAAGAAAAGAAAGGGAAAAGTTTTTCTCCTTACGAAGAGAACTCTCAGGGTTTACCCTCCACAACGTTCCTGTACCCCACGCCGCGGCGGTAGCCGGGGCTGTGCAGCGCACCGCACTCCTAGGACTCGCTTATCCTGCTGCTGGGAATCTGTGCCGCCGCCCGCCTTCCTCCAGTCCCTCCCCGCACCCCCGCCCCACCACCCGCTGCCTCTGAGAGCCCCAAGTCTGATCCCTTTTTCTAGGGGTGTGGCTTTATTTGTTTTGTTTTTAATATTTATTTTTAGAGAGATGGGAAGGGAGGGAGGAAGAGAGAAACATTGATATGTGGTTGCCTCTTGCACACCCCCAGATGGGGACCTGGTCTGCCACCCAGGCATGTTTCCTGATCGGGAATCAGCTGGCGCTCAGTCCACGGAGCTGCGCCAGCCAGGGCTGCTTGTTTTGGTGGTTGGATTCCACGTGTAAGTGAGATCTTACAGTCCTTGCCTTTCTCCGAGTACTTCACGGAGCACAGTGCCCTCTAGGCCCGTGCGGATCGTTGCAAATGGCAGGACCGCCTCGCTGCTTGTGGCTGAGCTAACACCCCGCGCGCCCTCCCCGCCACAGCTGCTGTGTGCGCGCGTCCATCCGTGGGACTCGCAGCTGGTTTCCGTGTCCCGGCTGTGGTGGCTCGTGCTGCCGTGATCATGGGGGTGCAGGTACCTTTTTGACTTAATTTTCATTTCCTTTGGATATATTTCCAGAAGTGGGATTTCTGGATCACGTGGTCCTTTTACTTTGGCTTTTTGAGGGTGCTGTTTC